TGGGAAGGAAGACTCCTGTACCAACTCCTATGGATTCTGGAGTTAGTTGGTATCTATGTGGCTTTGGACAATGGCTCTGGTCTCTGGCGCTTCTCTGTCAATGGGGATGCTAAAGGTCCCTGGCTCGCTGAGAGGGTGTGAGGGTTAGAATATGATTCTTACAAGGTTCTTTGGGGAGGCCTGGCAAATGGTAACTTCTCTTTAAGTGCCAGTCATTGTGACCTGGTGAAAGGTCCCCATTGGCTGGAATTCACTGGAAAGCAGAACAGAGTTTGGGGGGCGGAGTCCTCTCCAGGGTAGATGTCTGTTCTCTTCTTCTCCCTTCCCTGATTTTGGCAGATGTTGGCCTGTTTGCTGATTAGCGCTTCTTCCAAACTGCCTTGTGCAATTCCATTACGCAAGGCTGCCGCGGGGGAAGAGGGCACCAATTGTTTCCGTCCCTGTCATCAGAGAGGCCGTGAGCGCCATTCCTGTGCAAACTGTGCTGCTGTGTGAACTGGTGGAACGTGTGGCCGATGTGTCCACTGCAGAGAGGGCTCTTGGGCAGTGGGTGGGGAACACACCGTCTCTTGGAGTGGGCTGCTGTCATCGCCTTTCAGATCAATCTGATGCCAGGTGGTTTGCAGAAGCAGCTCTGCCCCAAGCACCAAGGTGTCTGCTGGTGAACTCCACAGCCCACCTTGCACCTGTCTTGTGGCAGGGGAAGGAAGGAGAGGGAGTCATGGCAGCCATTTATTCCACCCCCTCCCTGACCCCTCCCTGATGAAACATCACCCTGCCTGGGGTATTCAAGCCCCTGGACTTGATGGCTGGCTCTGCCTTTGGGGAGTGTGTGCTCTGGCTAACAGACCCCCCAGGAGTAATCAGGAAAGCTGTGAGGTTTGAAGAGACCCCCGTCTTTCCTTTTTGCTACATTGGCTCACTTCAGATCACCTCTTTGTCCCAGGAGTTCAACTCTGGCCACTGCCCTCCTTCCCGGCCTTTGGGGTTCCAAGCCGGATCAGCTAAGTGCCCCGTTCCCTTTCATGACTCTACTTTTTGTGTACATTAATGCATTCAGCATCTGCCGTGCAATGTCCTGGCATCGATAGGTTGTGATAAAGCAATCTTAGAATGTCCCCTGCTCTTGCCATCATTGAATATGTGGATACGCCATGAATCTGTGTTTATTTTAAAATACATTCCATAGTTACATCTACTTGAAGACAGGAATCTATCCTTTCTTTTAAATAAGCATGCATATTAAAGCAGAGAAACCTGAAAACTAAACATTAATTGTATCATGTGTCTTTATCAGAATGTAAGTATTATACCAGAGTCCTAGCTGATGCATTACACGTGTCAATATGCGGATTTTTTTTTTTTCCTTTACAACGTATTGTTTATCAGAAACCTCTGTACTTTTCCTTTAGAGGAGTCAATATTCATTTATATTCTGTGCTGACAGCTACAAATTGATGACTAGCGGTTATCAAATAAATGTTGATGAAAAGAGGCTACTTAACATTTTCATCCCAACAAGGGTTCTGGAAGGATGGATAATTTAGATCTCAGGGCCTCCGCTACAAACACACAGCAACTGCTTCCTAAATCCCACCTTTCTCTAGTGGAAGATTGCACCGGAAACCTGACAAATGACTTCTGAAAGAGAAAGATGCACCCTTATTACAAGGATGCTCTTAGCTTAATCCTGAACAAGAATCCTAGGTAATTTTACATACACTAGAAAGATGGATGGCACAGTTCTCCTCTGGAAGCTCACAAATGTTTGACTAGATCAGAAATGGCATTCAGGCATGATTGAAGATTCTGCTGGGTTTCCCAGAAATTATCAGTCCCGTGTCAACACCCTGCCTCATTGCCATCACAGGGGACGGAGGTGCTGCTTCCCCGAAGGTCCCGTGATCAGCAGCTGCTTGCAACCTACTGATAAATTGTTCTCAAAAAAAAAAAAATTACTTAGGGGAACCCACAGCTGCAGCCAGTGTTTATATGTCAAGGTGTTATTATTTTATCACAGTGGATCAGTAGCAATGGTGACAGATATTTTACACCAGAGTTGTTAACATTACTTCCTTCATACGGCTCTTTCATCTTTTCTGAATTATGTAGCGATGCCCCCAAAAGTGGCGTGAAAGTCATTTGATGGTGATTAAAGTGCTTCTTTAAAAATTTTTTTTATCAGTTTAAAAATGTTTCATCTTGTATCAGCAGTGCCAACTTGTTTACTAATGAGATCTCGCGAACGTGGCTCAGTCTCATGCTGATGATACGCAGACCAAAAAGCTGATGAGCGAAAAACAAGAACTTGTTATTAAACTGTCGTCACATCTGACCATAGAAAGATGTCACTCAGAGCTTGCCATTAGGATAGCTGGAAAGAGAATTCCCCAAGAAGCCCAAGGAGTAGCGGGCATGGGGCCAACAGATATTGTCCAGCATGGTAGGACCATGCCAAGTCAGAGGGAGACTTTGCCAAATGTATTCAGCTGATCTTTGGAGAAGGTGATCTTGCTTCCAGGGGCCCTCCTGTGCTGTTTCTCAAAGCCAGAGCCACTGGCAATGAAGTTTAGATTATATGCCACTCCAAACCTGGTGGCAGGAACCAAAGCCAACTCTTGATAAGAAACAAAAAAAAAAAAAAAAAAACTGGGCTTTCTGAAAGTCATGGTTTTCGGCATAGTAGCCAAATGTCGGCTCACCCAAAATGAGGCCAGTGGCCATGCTTGCATATTCCATGCTGGGAAGGTACATTTCCCTGCTCTCCAAAGTGACTACAAAGTTTCTTTGCAGAAATAGCAGTCCATCAAGGCCAGAGGGCAACACAAGACCATTTTAGATGCGCAGAGTGGCAAAACACAACCTTGAATATGTGGATACAACATGGGTTTGAAAGGGTTCTGCTTTGCTTTCCCAATTGGCCTCCTGGGTCTTAGGACCTGTGGAAGGCCAGTCTGGTGATGCACCAACACTGATATCATGACCTCTCAGGGATTGGGGAAAAGGGGCTAGACCTCGGTATGAACTGACTGCATTCTCGCCCACTTGGAAGTCAATGGCAAACCACCTGACCGTGACCCGGTGGGTTTTGCAGCTGCCAAGTAAAATGGGAACCCAAGACAGACTACCCACAATTGCTGCAAACACCATCTCCACGCGAACTCTCCTGGAAACCAGGGAGGGGGATGTTTGGCTTAGTTATCTGGGTGAACCTTGTAGTCCCCACTTCTTCTTTTCTGTCCCTTTATGTCCCTGTTCCAGCTTGGGGTGCAGGGTAGACCACTGGAAGGTCTTCAGGTAAATGTGCCAGGTGCTAAGCTGGGGGTTATTGAGACTAATAATTCATCAAAGGGAAATTTGGATGACCCGAACTCACTTCCATTAGACTCTGGCCACACAAGTGAGTTGGGAAAAAAAACTGCAGAAGCCAAGGCTTAAACAGGCTGTTTGGGGAGTGGGCACAGTGAGGGGGCTGGGGAGGAAACAAACCAGTGACTGTTTAATTAAGTTCAAGTCCTGTCGGCTCAAATTCCAGACTAATGGAACTTGTCCCGTGGAGTTGAGCAGCCAGGTGTTACCAAAGCTTGTGTCTCACACTTGACACCTGTCCCACAATCTAGTCACTTGGCTGCATTCAACCGTTCCATGGTCGGTCCAATTCAAAGGTGACCACTGACCCTGACCTTGAAGTCAAAACAAAACACAACATCAACAAAACAAGTCTGCTTTATACCACTTTCCTAAAATCATAACACCTCGGGGTCCTGGTTCTTAGCATGGCCCTGGCCCCTGATGATTCTGAGTACAATCACAGCAAATGCAAACCAAATCACCATTTAGGCAGATGCCCCTCTGAGAAGCAACCTGCTTTTACACTGTGTAGGGGCTGGAAAATGGTGACCTTTGGGTGACTGGGGATATTCATTTCCCCCACAATCAAACATCCCTAATGTTTTCCTCAAGGCGCCCCATCTGCAGTCACCTGTTCCGGTCCTCTTTGGCAACCCCCTCCCCATCAGCTGATAATTAGTTGATGCAGCAATGGCCGTGATACGCATAAATAATCATAAGGTGCCAGGTAAACTGTATTGGTTTTAAATTAGAGCCATGCGTATCGTGTCTCCCCATGAGCAGCAGCCTATTATTTTTAATTATGGCCTGCAAAGCAAAGTGATTTCTTGCCCTCTTTACAGCATCCTGGCAGTATTCTGTCAGTCGAGATGACGTGGTGCCCCATCAGCGCACATATCCCCAGCCACAGCCCCAACTGTCACATGCCAGGCGATGGAGAGTGATCAATGGCATTCATTGCAACTTGCCTTTTGAAGTGCGCCTGAAGGAAATACACCCCCTTAGTCACTGTCCCGTTGTAAATCCAGGACAAATACGGCATTTAGGAACAGTTTTTTTTTTTTTTTTTGGACATATTAACGTGTGTCTGTGTGGGCATGTGTGCGGAGCATGTCTCTGTGTGTTCTAAACATTCTAACAGCCTAGCAGACTCTTCCCCAGCAGCACCATGGGCAAAGAATAAAGGACCGATCTGCCTCTAGCCCCACTCGGGTTTTCTACCTGATGGGCTGTAATTAAGAGTGAATAATCCAGACAGAAAGTTCTAGAAAGATCTAAGTGTCAAATTACATTACACATTGGGAAGCCGAGGGTCGATGGATGTGTGCCTATGTGTTAGGAAGGATTCTGTCTTTTCTCTTCGCAGAAGAGGCGCCTGGCAGGACGTATTGACCAGTGTCTTTATTTTCGAAGCTTCTTCCTGTCGGAGGGGTGGAAAGTCACACAAGCTTTCCAAGTGGAGTTTGTGAACTTGTCTTCCCATGACGGTCATGGTCATGGGCTTCGAGCTCAGTACCCTTGACCATGTGACACCCAACTCGGGTGACCCGGGCGGAGGGAGACTGGCTGGTCCCTAGTCAGAAGGACATCTCCCTTGACTTACACATTCTCTTTCTTTTTTTTTTTTTTTCTTTCACCTTTGATTCCAGCAACAGGGAGCTGCCACCACGGTGTACTGCGCAGCGGCTCCGGAGCTGGAGGGCCTGGGAGGGATGTACTTCAACAACTGCTGCCGCTGCCTGCCCTCGCCAGAAGCCCAGAGCGAAGACACGGCCCGGGCGCTGTGGGCGCTCAGCGAGAGGCTGGTCCAGGAACGCGTCGGCGGGCAGTCCAGCTAGGAGCTGGGGCGACGATGGCTCCCACGCCCCTGCACCTGTGCGGCACCACTGGCCAATGCCAGCCCCTCCCACTTAGCATCCTGGGGGCTTCCACGCCCCTCCAGCGCAGATCCACAAAAGAAGCAATTGCAACAGAGCGAAAAATGTTAAGCACCATGGGGAAGCAGGGAATCGTCGCTTTTCTGGGGTCAGGGTGGGTGTGGGTCCCTTGCTTTCTGGTGGTGGCCTGATGGGAGGGGAAAGCTTGATGGGTGTGCAGTTCTTTCCCTCACTGTAGAAGCATAGCAACTCACTCTCAGTTTTGGAACAGCCTGGTGTGTCCCCTTATCCCACAGGGCCACCACCATGGCCATCATTATAGTCAGAGGCTGGCTTTCTCCTGCTTAGGGAAGAACAAGCAAATGCCCATCCTGTCATGCTGCAGAGACCCAGGAAACAGTTATTCATTCCACCAAGTCTGAGGCAGCTTGACAACTTCCTGGAGAGAATCTCAGAACCTGGGTCTAGCCATCTGAAACCGGGACACCCAGAGACGCAGTGCAGTGGGCGGGGCTAGCGGGCAGAAGAGTGCCGGTCCAACACTCCCTTGCCAAAGCTATCCAAAAAATTCTTTAGAGATTATAACCCATTTTGCAAATCATTCCTTAGCTACCTAGATGGGCAAGATGGGAGGCAGCGTGTCCTCAGGGGTACATGGAATATTCTTGGGGTGGGGAGTAAAAATACTTCCCTCGAAGGTTCCAGAACAGCCCAGTGGCTGGGTTTCCCGCCTGCTGCTGCTTCCTCCTGTTCCTCCCATCCCATGCTTAATAAAAGAGCATGCTTGGCTATTTCACCTGAAGTTCGTTTAAAGTTTCTTTAAAAGTCCCTATCGTCTCTTTAAAAGTCTGTGTGAGTTTTTTTTTGTTTTTGAATTTTTTTTTTTTTAGAAAAGAAATCTAGAGGAAAAATAAAGCGCTTCTGTAGACGCCAGGAAGACACCATTCTTGCTTCTTCTCTGAGTTCGTGTTGTGTTTTGTGCTTTGTGGCTGTCCATGGGCCAAGTTGTCTCACGCGGTTAGCATGCCAGCGTCGTATTTTCTGTTAGAGAAAGAAAGAAAAAGAAAAGTGACTACCGTTTGATTTCACCTGAAGAGGCTCTTTATTACTTACGCAGGGTTACTGCAGCCCTGGGAGCTCGGCTTCCCGGTAGGCACCCAGCTCGTGGTGATGCAGTGTCAAACCAAGGAGGTCAGCCAGGGACTCTTCCCTTTCCATTGACCTGCCACACCCTTAAGACGTCCCCTAGGTCTCAGAGACCAAGTCTCCCTGCATCCTCAATCCACCCGACAGTCATCTTGAGCTAGATTCTGGGAATTCAGAGTTTAGGTAAGGGAGTGAGGACAAGAGGAAGTCCACTCTGGCATGAGGGAGAGATGCTTTTACTGAAGTACTGAGACCCTGAGGGTGGCATGTGTGTCCTGTCGCCCTTCCTGAAAACGGTAGCGTCAGTCTAGGCAGCACCATGCATCAATCTCTGGGCCTCCACCCAGTGGGACACCGTCGCTCTCCCCTAGCCCAGGCCTGGCTACTGCCTCGCGTCAGCTATGCTGTCCCTCAGAAAATCCTTATTATTCTAGGACCGTTAAAAGTACGAATCGGATAATGTCACCTTCCTGACATCCAGGTAACCCCACTTACATGGGGTCATCACAGAAGACCCAGCCCCAGCTGAGCCAGCCCAGAGAAGGAACGCCACAGTGAACCCACAAGAAGTGCAAAAATTAATGAAATTGTCATTTCAAGCCACTTATTTTCAGGATTGCGTGTTCCACAGCAGAAGCTAACCACTCCAACGTCCCGTTTCACTGAGCGAAGTCCGCATTTTCCAGCGGTGGCCTGAGTTCTCTCATGAGCTGGTCCTCGGGCACCTCTCTCCTCCCCGATGGCCACCTCCCCTGCTCTGCTAGGAGCCGCGCTGGCTTCCTGTGTCCCTCCAGCAGGCCCCTGGGCCTTCTCCAGGTCTCTGTACACCTGTCATCCCGGCTGAAAGCTTTCCTCCCGGGTCTGGATGGCCTCCTCCATCGCTGCTTCCTGATCTCTGTTCAAGTGTGACCTGTGTCCAAAGAGGTGACATTCCCAGCCACTCCACTTGCGCTGTCACCACAGTCAGCCTCCCTTGCCCTTACTGTCATATGAAGACGACACTCTTGGTCATATGACGAGTTTCTTCCCTGCCCTTCTCCTCCCTGTATCAGAGACCCCATGGCATTTGTCTTCTTCACAGTGTGGCCACATGCCTTGAACTGCTCCTGGCACATAGTAGGTTTCATAAGTAACCTCCAGGGGAAGGATCCTTCTTGCCCACCAACGTTTCTGTTCAGGAAAGTAATTTCCACCATTGTGACAACTGCGAGCTGCACACCTCGCCAAACTAGCCTCAGTGCCCCGTCTAATTTCTAAGGTGACCGCGTCCTGCCAGGCGATGCCCACTTCCTGTCTTACACCCGAAGACACTGAGGCCAAGAGGTTTCAGAGTTACCGCTGTCCACACGGTGCACACGTCAGTAGAGCCGTGATTCCTACCGTGGTGGTTCGATGTCAAGGCCAGGCAGCTTCTCTGCACCAAAGCCACCAGTCCGACACAGGCCTCAAGTGTCCCTCTGGTAGGATGCACCACCTAGATGTCTCAGGCTGGGCAGAGAGGTGACTTTGCCGGTCTGACTCTAACTCGACCTGTCACCTTCGGCACCGGGGCAGAAGTCAGGACAAAGACGATGCTGGAGCAGCATCAGCATCGGGGGTGTCCTGTCACTGACTCCTGTGTGGACCTGCTTCAGGCTGATGAGACGAGGCTGGGGGGACGGACCAGGGGAGATGAGGAGCCCCACCTCAACAGTCCCCAATTTCGTGTAGGCCAGGCCCTCACTCATTCCTTCACATTTCCATTCCACAAACGTGCCGAGGGCTACATTCTGGAAATTCAGTTCTGGGTAAAGCCCCGGAGTCCCTGCTGTAAAGACCTAATATCTTCCGTCTGCAGGAGTCCTCCCAAGACGCAAGGCCCTGGTCATGTCTACAGAGCTCTCTAGGTGCTTGAAGATGAACGGAGGCCCTGGACAATGGCCAGGCTTCCTCTCGTCCACTTCTTCCTGAGATCAGTGTGACCATTGCTGTGGGGCCATTTCCCTCTGCTGGACATATCACTGTCATTTCTTTGGCTAATTCTGTCAGTGATTTCTCGACACATGAGCAAATGTGTACGACAATTTCTGTTTGAGCTCATTCCAAGGCCAAGTCTGTCTTTCACCATATCAAATGTACCTAGATATGTGAATACATATAAATTACTACTTATTATAATAACAATCCTACTCTGTCATCACCAGTGCTACTAATTGCCAATAGTGTTTATTGAGTGCCAGTTGAGAGTGTAGGCAAATCACACTTACCTTTTCCCTGTATGCTCAGAGGATGAAACTGAGGGTCAGGGAGTCAGAGCAGCCTCCCCTCTGCCCCACAGCAGTGAATAGTGGAGCCAGGATTTGAGGCCAGCTCTGCCTGCCTCAAGCTGGTGTGCTTTCTGCTACCCTATGGGTGGCCCAGAGACAGCAGTATGCACACCAGGAGTGAATCATTCACAACGGAAGGCTGGTTGACTTCTTGCCTGAGGAGGGGACTCTGGCTGGTGCTCCTTCTGGTGGGTCGTGCCTGCTATAAACGTGACAAACCACCTTGCACATGCCATTTATCCGACGATATTGGCTCCAGCCCCCGACCCCAGTGTCCCCCAGCAGACCCTCACACCTGGATGGATTGCCTATGTCTGCCTCTGACCTCTTTTCCTTCTAGTGGACACAGGTTCTGAGCTCTCCCAGTGCCACGGAATCCACCAAACAGCACGAAGAGGCTGGGTCCTCGGTGGTCCTTCTCTTCTGAGTTCCCCTCTCTTCCTACGTTTCATTAAACCCTAGAGGCAGCCGGTCTCCACTCTCACATCTAAATAAGAGGGACTTGCTGCAGTTTATCAATAGGAAACAAGAAATGGAAGCGTCCCCTGGCAGAGGCTGTACCCTGTGGCTTGTGGCTTTTGCTCTTTAAAATGAGGCGATGGTTCGTTTTGTTTTGAACTTCAATGAAGGAGGCCTGATTCCTTTCATCAAGGTCAATGCTAAGCGAGAAAGCTTGGCTTGCACAATTGCTGCCCATTCTGGTCACCAGCGGTTACCCTTTTTTTGGAAGTTTACATTAAAAATATCTCAAATAGCAATACCTACCCTGGGTATCAACCTTGTGCCTTTCAACATAGCCAAGCCGGTTTGGTTGAAGTCACTTTAGAATGCTAAATGACATCATGAAATGTGATCCACAGAATCATTGAAAAAAAAAACACTCTGAATTCTTGTGCCTATTGATGAAATGAGGTAGCAACAATAAACGTAATTTTTAGAAAGAAAAAGAAAGACTCATGTACTGCTGTACATACAATTTTGCATTTAAATGCTGCTTTTCAAGCCTTCATGGTGTTTGTTTTTTGGGTCCTTCCCATTGTTTCTCAAAACTTTCAATTATTTGAACAGATGCCTAGTATATCGTGTTGGTGATGTGCCACCATTTGGAAACCCAGCCCTTGCCCACGACATTTGGGTTATTTCTAGGTTCTCTTGGTAGAACTAACAGTTTGCTTAGCAACTTTCTGCAGATGATTTTAGTCCCGTTAATTTACCTCCTCGGCAACATTGCAGAGGCTGGGAGCTCCCAACTGTTGGGAAGGGCCCCTCCTACCACTTCTGTTCCGTTTGTTTGTAACCTTGTCAACATGGGGTGTTGACATTTATATTTTTAAGCATTTTAGCCTTGTACTGTCACAACCTCTATCTATTTACATGTAATACTCCCAAGCAGCCAGCCAACTTATTTAAACCATAAGCATTTTGTCTTTTATATTCCCCCAGGACGAGTTCACAATTTTAATTAGTCTGGAAATTCCGAGTGAGTTTACAGAGAGGGGATTTTGGTAGGAAAACGCAGTCCATGGTGCTTCAACTTTGCTGGGCTACTTTTTCCAGCCACCAGCTGCATCTCTACATCGACTCAGCCGAATGCAGCACAGGACGCAGACTCTCACCTGGGAGTCTCTGGTTCCTGCTGGCTCACGGACTGACCCCTGGTTGGGGCTCTCAGCAGGCCCCTTCTTGGCCGCTGATGTACCTGTGCTTTCATGGAAATGTGCCACGCCAATCAGGAGATTGTCTTGCTGCCAACTGATCTGCTTGCAGGGCCGTCCCCGCTGCACCCTGTTTCCAATTTTCAAAATGGGAGGAAGCACCCAGCGCCTCTCTGCGTCATGCATTCACACGAGGCGGGGGCCCGTCTTCCTCTGGCCTTCCTGGTTTTATCAGAGGCTCGATTGGAGCTTGTCTCTCGACTTTGGAATTGTGACAGTGTCTCTTGTTGGATGCCAGACATTGCAGAGGCTAAAAGTCCACTTCTGTAAAGTTCCATTTCCTGAGTGTTTACCCATATTTTGTGCTTTCCTGCAGTGCTGCTGTCTTTAGGTAGTAGAGTCTCATGACTTTGGAAGTCAACATAAGTGTCCCCTTTTCACCACAGAGGAGGCCATTCAAGCCTGAGACCACGGATGCCCAGGATTGTTACATAATTGTCTCTCTGCAAGTCCATTCTGCATCCCTGTGTGCCCTCCCTCCCTGTGCTCCCAGCCTTCCCTGCTTTACTTTCTATTTCCAGACTTGTTTAGGCTTCTCCAAGGATTCCGAATTTACCTGACAGTGGCTTTCTCTTGTAAGTCCTTTAAACATGATTTGTGAGATTGGTTCATGGAAAAAAAAAAAAAGGGTTCCA